GGTAAGAAATACTATGAGCCATGAAAACTGAAAAAGAGGTTCAATCTGTTGTCCTGCGAAAGTCTTCATTTCATCTGAAAGAGAAATATGAAAAACCTTATTCCTATTTTATTTAAGAAATATAACTTTTAACTCAATTTGCAATGTTCACATTTTCAACAGAAACATTTATTGGGCACTTACTAGGTCCCTAGATAGAACATTGCTACTTACCATGTTAACCAACATTCTCTTGCCAAATATTAATATAAACATCTCGTTCCCCAGGGGCACAGCTACCATTTTCCTGTTTCACATTGAGGATATATAAAATCTCTTTTCATATTCTCCCATTTGTCAAGATTTTGCTGGTATTTAGATTTTGTGGTTTGTATTAGACAACAAGGTATTGTTCAATATGCAAAAATGAAAATAAAACTGTGTCTTCAAAGTACATATCTCCACCATTCCTCTCTGTTCCTCCTCCCCTCTTCTCCCTCCAATCACATTTGAGAATACTTTTCTTAAAGGTGTGTGTTGAGTCCAAATGAGCCCAACTCATCAAGTCATTCTTCGTATAAAACTTCAGGAAATTTTTACAGGCAGTACTGAAAACTGTCCTTGAAAAATGAGTAAGATTTTACCAAGTAAAAAGGGGTGTGTGTTGGGTAGGAAGTAGGGGGTAAGCTGTCTAAGCAGCTCCCAGCAGAGGGAGCAACTCTGGAGAGTGTCGGGTGTATTCTTGCAAGAGCAAATAGTCCTCTGTGACCACAGCACACATGGGGTGCACGCCAGAGGTGGTGCTGGCAGGTGGGGCTGTGCAAATGGACAAGTTTGTGAAGGGCCTGGAAAACCTCTCGCCAAGGGTTTCATGTGTTCTCACAGAACTGGCTTTGTTTTAGAAAGAGAACTCAAACGACCAAATGGAGGATCAACCAGAGGGGAGAGTAAAACCCTGACAGGATCATGTCAGTAAACCGTATAACACACACGCTCATACAGAAAGCTCTGCCTTTTCCTCTGCTTCAGAAAAAGTCCCAGAGAAAAAACCCCGTTATATATACAGACTTCACATAAGCAGGCCCTTTACCTTCCAGTTTCTTGAGTAGGAAAGATTTCCCGCTTCCCCACTGTGCATACAACCCCACACAAATGGGAGGCTGCATGGTAGGCTCACTGAGAATATCTGCCAGGGCGCTGCTGTATAAATCATAACCAAGCATGTCACCGTCTGTTTCGGTAGGAGACAAGTGTCCTGTAATTACAAACACAAAATATCCTTACATTAAACAGTGGCATTACTATTAAAAAGGAACATCCATTCTTATTTGTTATTTAATTAAAAAGAAAAAAAACTTATTTTAAATGTTTAGACCTATAATTACATTGTATTTCACAGAACTTAAGTTACCTATTAGTTATAAGAGGTATCATTTTTATGTATGAGTAAGAAAGAAAAAAAAATTCTGCTAAATTGTGACGCAATTCTTTCTTAACCATTACTTACAGGACACATTTCAATTTCATACATGTTAAAATGTATTATAGAATAATGTGTATTTTAGAATCAAAAAAATATGATACTTAAAACACAAAGTAGTACATAAGAATTTAACATGAGTAACACCCATGTAAAGAAAGTCACCAACGTTACTAAAGAACATAATAGATACGCTGAGCCTTTCTGCCTACTATAGCTCCAGGCAGAAAGGTTCAGCAATTCTCCCAAATTAATCTAGCACTTTAGGGCAATTCTAATTAAAACTCACGAGAATTTTTTTTTAAATTGAAAAGCAAGAAGAACATGTAAGAATAGCTAAGAAAAAAATTGTGAAGACTACCAAAAGGTAGCTGTCATTGGAGAAGAATAAAAATATTAAAACTACAATAATTAGAACACTGTAGAACTTGTACAGGATATTAGCATAAGTGGCATTTCAAATAAGGGAGGAAGGAAAGGATGAATTA